GGAGGCTAGGACTTTCAAGACGAAGGAAAGTTGAGGTTTTCTAATGTGTTCGAGAGAGGTCTCTTCTCCTTTTGAAAGGGAAAAATTGAGGCTTTAAAAAGATGAGTGTCTGAGAAACAGGGGGTGCTGATGGGGCTACAGCCCCCTGGTGAGGGGACTGGATAAGGGGTGGCATGATGGCTACGATAAGGGGTGCAGGTGGCTAAGGCAGAAGCACCAGTCTTTTATTATTATTTTTTTATCTTTTCTCTTTTTTAAAATTTTTTAAATAATTTTTAATTTTAATTAAAACCAATATTATTATTATTAATATTAAACAAGAACTGAAAATAATAGATCCAAATAAAATCAGTGTCTACAAATATTCATATTATTTGATGTAAAATAGATAAGAAATATCATAAGATACTAAAAAAGTTATAATAATTCTAAATATATTGAAAAGTAAGAACAAACGTAAAAACATTATTGTAACATAAATAATTATGATGATAATATAAAAATTTGATTAATTATTGTTTTGTGTGTGTGTGTATATATATATATATATTAAAGAAAATAGTTATAAATTAAAAAATGGTAACATAAACAAGTGGTAAGAAATATAAAATTAATGTCATTTGATGTAACTGTAATATACTAAGAAAGAGATAACAATTCTAAACATAATAGATGGTAAGAATAATCATAAGAAGATATTATTTTAATATAAATAATTATGTTGGTAATATAAAATTTTAACTAATTATTATTTTTTAAATATATAAGCAAAACAGTTAAAAATTAAAAAATAAATAGGTAATATAAAAAAGAGAGAAAAAAACTAAAATGAGTATTATTTGGTATGAAATAGATAAAAAGTATTGTAACATATTAAGAAAGAGCTATTACAATTTTAAACATAATTAAATGTAAGAACAATCATAAAAAAAAATGATTGTAACATAAATAATTAAGTTATCAATTTAAAATTTTAATTATTTATTTTTTAAACATATAAAAAAAATAATTAAAACTTAAAAACATATTAGTAACATAAAGTAGTTAGATAAAATGTAAAAAAGTAAGAATTATCGTAAAATTAGTAGCATTTAACATAAAATGTATTAAAAGTAACGTAATATTTTAAGAAAGAGTTGAGATAATTCTAAATGTAATGAAGGTAAGAATAAGCATAAAAAGATATTATTGTAATATAAATAATTAAGTTGACAATGTAAAAGAATTATTATTTTAAACTCAAAGAATAATTGTAAATCAATAAATAAGTATTAACGTAAAAATGTGAGAATAATTATTAAAATTAGTGTTATTTGAAGTAAAATAAGTTAAAAGTATCGTAATACCCTAACAAATAATTGTGATAGTTATAAACGTAATGAAAAGTAACAGCATGCATAAAAAATTATTGTGACAAAAATAATTAAGTTCGTAATATAAAAAAATATTATTACAAATAAAAATAATAATTTTAAACAAAAAAATAAAAGTTAATGTAAAAAAATAAGAATAGTCTTAAAATTAGTATTATTTGATGTAAAATGGTTACAAGTATCGTTACACCTTAATAAAATGTTATGATAATTCTAAACGTAATGAAAAGTTAACAATAAATGTAAAAAAATATTATTAAAATGTAAATAATTAAATTGGTAACAAAAAAAAATTAGTATTATAAATTAAAAATAATATTACACAAAAAAATAGGTGTTAATGTAAAATATAAGAATAATCATAAAAGTAGTATATTTTGACGTAAAAATGGTAGAAATATCATAATACCTTCAGAAAAAATTATAATAATTTTAAACATATTAAAAGACAAGAACAAGTGTAAAAGTTATTATTATAACGTAATAATTAAGTTGATAACATAAAAAAAATTATTATTATAAATAATAAATAATTCTAAACAAAAAAAAAGTGTTAATGAAAAAAAGTGAAAGTAATTGTAAAAATAGGATCATTTGGCATAAAGTATATTAGAAGTGTCATAACATTAAAAAGTAAAAATAATTGTAAAATTGGTGTCATTTGACATAAATTGGGTTAGAATTATCGTAACACCCTAACTAAGAGTTATGATAAATTTAAACATAATAAAAAATAAGAACAAGTGTAAAAATATATTATTGTAACATAAATAATATTTTTGGCAATGTAAAAAATTATTATTATAAATAATTAATAATTCTAAATAAAAAAATAAGTGTTAGTATAAAAAAAATGAGAGTAATTATAAAAATAGTATTATTTGATGTAAAATGGTAAGAAGTGCCGTAAACCTTTTTAAAAAAAGTTATAAAACTTCTAAACATAATAAGAGGTAATAAAAAATGTAAAAAAAATATTATTACAACATAAATAATTAAGTTGGCAATATAAAGAACTATTATTACAAAAAAAATAATTTTAAATAAAAAGTTAGGAGTTAACGTAAAACGATAAAAATAATTGTAAAATTGATATTATTTAACATAATACTGTTAAAAATATCATGACATATTAAGAAAAAAATTATAATAATTCTAAATGTAATTAAAAGTAATAATAAATGTAAAAAGATATAATTGAAACGTAATAAATTGATAATGTAAAAAAATTAGTATTATAAATAAAAATAATTCAATTAAAAAATAAGTGTTAATGTAAAAATATGAGAATAATCATAAAATTGATATCATTTGATGAAAAATATATTAAAAGTATTATAATACCTTAAGAAAAACTTGTGATAATTTTAAATATAATAAAAGATAAGAATAAGCGTAACAGATTTTATTTTAATGTAAATAGAAATGACAACATAAAAAAATTATTATTATAAATAAAAAAATTCTAAACAAGAAAAACATGTTAACGTGAAAATGTGATAATAATTAAAAAATTGAAATCATTTGGTGTAAAATATGTTACAATGTTGTAACCTAAATGGATAATAATATTTAAAAAATTAGTATCATTTGACGTAAATGAGATTAAAAGTATCGTAACACTTTAACAAAAAGTTGTAATAATTGTAAACGTAATAAAAAATAGAAATAAGTATAAAAAATTATTATTATAACATAAATAATAATTTGGCCAACATAAAAGAATTATTATTACAAATAAATTAAATTATAAATAAAAAAATATTAATATAAAAAATGTGAAAATAATCGTAAAATTGATATTAATTAATGTAAAATATTTATAAGTATTGTAACACCTTTAAGAAAAAGTTATGATAATCTTAAATGTAATGAAAGGTAACAATAAACATAAAAAGATATTATTATAACATAAATAATTAAGTTGGCAATATAAAAAAATATTATTACAAATAAAAAATAATTCAAACAAAAGATAAGAGTTAACATAAAATGGTGAGAATAATCGTAAAATTTGTATTATTTTACGTAAAATGGTTAGAAGTATCGATACATCTTAACAAAAAAATTGTAATAATTTTAAATGTAATGAAAAGTAACAACAAATGTAAAAAGATACGTAATAAATTTATAATGTAAAAAAATTAATTTTATAAATAAAAGTAATTTTAAATCAAAAAATAAGTTTTAAAGTAAAATGGTGAAAATAATTACACAATTAGTATAATTTGACATAAAATATGTTTAAAGTATTGTAATAATTAAGAAAAAATTGTGATAATTTTGAATATAATAAAATATAAGAACAAGCATAACATATTTTATTATAACGTAAATAATTAAATTGATAATATAAAAAATTATTATTATAAATAAAAAATAATTATAAACCTAAAAATAAGTGTTAATGTAAACAAGTAAGAATGATTGTAAAATTGATATAATTTAACGAAAAATATGTTAACAGTATTGTAACAAAAAATGTGAGAATATTCGTAAAATTAGTATAATTTAGAGTAAAATATGTTATAACTATTGTAACACCTTAAAGAAAAGTTATAATAAATTTAAACGAATGAAATATAAGAATAAGTGTAAAAAAATATTATTTTAGCGTAAATAATTAAGTTGATAATATAAAAAAATTATTATTATAAATAAAAAAATAATTCAATAAAAAAATAAGTGTTTACGTAAAAATGTGAGAATAGTCATGAAATTTGTATCATTTTGACATAAATATATTAGAAGTATTGTAACACCATAAAAAAGTTATGATAATTTTAAACATAATAAAAAATAAAAGTAAGTATAAAAACATATTTATTATAATGTAAATAATTAAATTGATAACGTAAAAAAATTATTATAAATAAAAAATAATTCCAAACAAAAAATAAGTATTAATGTAAAAAGAAGTAAAAAAAAGTGAAAATAATAGTAAAATTGATATCATTTAATGTTATACCTTAAAAAAATTATGATAATTTTAAACGAAATAGAAAGTAAGAACAAGTATAACAAAAAATTAAAGTAAATAATTAACTTGATAATGTAAAAAAATTGATATTTTTAAATTAAAAGATTCTAAAAAAATTATTAATGAAAAAAATAAAAATAATTGTAAAATTCATATCATTAGATGTAAAATATATTTGAAATGTCTTATCATAAAAAAATTTTTAATAATTCTAAATGTAATGATAAAAATATATAAAAATATATTATTAAATATAATTAATTAAGTTAATTTCTTTAAATAAATTGATATTATAAAATTAAAAAATATATCATTTTTATTTGTTAAATTAATAAATTAAATAAAATTATGTGTACCTTTTTTTAAAAATTATATTATTCTTATAATTCATTAGCCTAAGATCGATAGATTGCAACGTTAACAAACCTCATAATTTACTCAAAAATCAAAATCGTTGAAAGCCCAGGAGGCAGAAAGAGCGCGTGGGTGTCAAATTAGTGAAGGTCCACGAAGACTGTCGTCGGAGCAAGTAAAGAGAGGGCCGTCCCTATCCTTTCCTCTCTCACCACCCCATCTCAAAAGGCCAAAACCTTCAAATTTTCCCTCACTTTCTCTCCCTTTCTCTTAACTTTCTGTGGGTTTTCTCTATTTCCTCTGTCAAATATAAACAAAGTAAGCTCCTCATTTGTGGGTTAATAATTTCTCCAATTATTGGTTGCTGCATTTTGTTTATTAATTCTCTTTTTTTTTTTTATATTCTTTTACTTTTTCTAATCAAATCATTCTCCTTGTACTTTTCTCATAATTCATTAATCATGTTTAATTATTTATTTTACTTACTTAATTTACTGGCTCTAGGTTTTGGGTGTTTACAAGCTGCAATTTTTACTTCTGTAGATAAAATTTTCAGAGTGATCTTTCAAGAAGTAAGTTACTTCACATTGTAAAATTTTGTTTCCTTTTATTTTTCGGTTCTTTTTATTGAATTCCCACTTTGGGTTAAGATATTTGCTTCCTGTGTTTATAACTTTTAAATTTTTGGTTTTTGTTTTCCCCCATTTTATTCTGTGAAGTTTATTTCAAGGTTGAATATAGACTGTTGTTTTCTACTTGGTAGGATTTCTGAAGGGTTGAGGAATTTTACCCTGCAAAGGTGTTGGTTTAGCACCAATTTTGTTCAGATTCCCCCCACTGAGTTTTGGGTAGACAGAAAAAGAATGCCCTTGCTAGATATGTATAACGGTGGAAATATACACTAAGGCATGCTTCTTTCTAAAAGTGAAATGATAGAATTCCTTTTCAGCTTGTGATATTTGGGATGTTAATAGCCTAAAGTTTGAGCTAAAATGTACAAAATTGGATCCGATATTTTGAAAACATTGCCCTCCCTTCTAAAGTTTCTTTCCAGCTTCAATGTGCTACATTGGTTTTGGCATTTCTGGAACATACATTTTTTCAAGGTTGGACTTTGATGGTTGCCACTACATCAAATGGCCTACTTATTGCATTATGCGTGTGGGAAAGTTCTTATATGTAATATTGGATTCAATATGAACAGATTGGTCAAAAAATGGCCGGAAGAATGGATACCTCAGTTTTTTCCCATTGCCACATAGTAGAAGCACAGAAGGGACAAGGAACTATGTATTCTTAATGTTTAATAAATTTGTTTAAATAGTCTTGATAGCTGCCATGTTTTCTTGCACCAATTGTCACCTAAATTTTTGACCTATTTGCTTTATTATTATTATTTTTAAGGCTTTTCCTTCTGCTACTAATCGTGGGTACCCAAAGTCAGACAGAGTTTAGTGGACAGAAAAGGATGCTTCCTCCACCTCCTGGAATGTTTCAAGATCGTGAGGAGCTCATTAAACATGTGCGGGATTTTGGGGCTAGCCAAGGATATGTAGTGACTATTAAGAAGTCTAGGAAGGACAGAAGAGTCATCCTTGGATGTGACAGAGGAGGTGTTTATCGCAATAGGCGTAAGATTGATGAAAGCAAACGCAAAAGGAAAGCATGCTCAAGGCTTATAAATTGCCCTTTTGAAGCTATAGGTAAAAAGGAAGATGATGCCTGGGTTCTAACCATTAAAAATGGGGAGCATAACCATGAGCCTTTAAAAGATATGTCAGAGCATCCTTATAGTCGTCGTTTTACTGAGGAAGAAGTTAGGCAAATCAAATTAATGACTGAAGCTGGTAAAAAACCACGTCAAGTGCTCAAGGCTCTGAAACAAAGTAATCCAGAGTTGCAGTCAACTCCAAGGCATTTGTACAACCTTAAAGCTAAGATTCGTCAAGGAAATTTATCAGGTAGTCTGCTGTTGTTATTATTATTTTTTATTTTATTCCTCTATTTTAAATTGAAATAAGCTGTAGAATCTCTACTTTAACCTGGCCTCTCCAGTTATGTTGAATGGTAGCTTCTTGGTGTAGATTGCTTTGCAGTTTATCATCAAAATGTCAGATATAATGAGGTAGCTGTTTCATGATTCTAACAGGAAGAAGATAGGGCATTTTTCATTTTCTTCAGAGAATTTACAGTTTGTGGAGTTTGGAACTATTTATTGATCATATGAGAATAAGTTGCTAATATTCGGCTGAAGTTCATATTTATCCTCAAATTTTAGTGGCAGCTCAATTCTGTTATTTATCTGGTTCCATGATTTATGCTAATTTTAGCTTAAGACTTCAGATATAGAGTCAAAGTGGAGAGAATGAAATTGACAGACATGTCTATTGAGGTTGAATGCGTTTTGATGGAGCATGTTTCTATTGTAGTGATTGTTGTACATTGTAATGAGACAAATGCAGATTTTAAACAATATATCTATTTCCACTCCCACTTTGAGAACATAATATTATGTGTAATTTTCATTTAGAGTATAAATTTTTTCTTGTAGAGAAAAGTTTCAAATCATGGAGGCCTAACAAATCTGTTCCTGTAAACTCGAATGGCCCTTTCACTGGAGAATTGTTAAAGCAAAACAACCAGCCGGTGAGTTTTGGTGTGAAAGAAGAACAAGTGGTGTATGACCTTCTCCTTTACTGCTTGGATTTCTTTTTTTTTTTTGTGCTCTGCATGTTTTAGCATGTGTCCGTTTGTGTGTGTTTACATATGGCTAAGTGCTAATGTTTGTCCTTTATACTTAATGATTCTGGGACTTCTATAGGTAAAGGTTCCTAATTTTATTGGAGGGAAATTTGTGGATTCACTAGGGTCCATAGTCATTGATGTAATAAATCCTGTAAGTGCATGAGCTAAAATTTTCATTTCGCTCTTTCTCATCCTCTTTGTTGCTTTCTTTTAATATCAAAGACTTTTTTTTTTTTTTAATTAGGCAACACAAGAGGTTGTTTCTCAAGTTCCTTCAACTACCTATGAAGAGTTCAAAGATGCAGTTAATGCAGCCAAGCAAGCTTTTCCCTCTTGGAAGAACACACCAATTACAACTCGCCAGCGCATCATGTTCAAGCTCCAGGAGCTTATCCACAGAAATATTGTAGGGATAACAGAATTTGTTGTTGTTATTCATTAATTTATTTAATTTTGAACTTAATTAATTTCATATGCACAATCTTTGATTATTCCTTGTTCTCCCCAGGATAAGCTCGCAATGAATATTACAATGGAACAGGGTATGACATTAAAGAGTGCCCATGGTGATGTGCTGTGTGGTTTAGGTAGCCTTTGCTCATCCTGTATTGATTTTGTTCCATCATTTTAAAAGATTGGTAACCACCAGTTTGAGGTTATTAGAATTTATTTATTGCTTTGTTATTTTGCTTGTAGAGGCTGTTGAAAATGCTTGTGGAGTGGCAACTCTGCAAATGGGGGAGTTTGTCCCAAATGCATCTAATGGAATTGATACATACTGCATTAGAGAACCGCTTGGTGTTTGTGCTGGGATATGTCCCTCTAACTTTCCTGCAATGATCCCTTTGTGGGTATGTTTGCCTGCTCCTTGTTTCCTTTCTTGGGTTTTGGTTCCTCATCCCTTATCTTGTCTAAATATTGGCTATTTTAAGCTTCTGAACATCATCATGCTTCCTCTTTTTGTGTACACCATTTGCTTGGTTATCTATGCATTTCATCGTTCTCTAAATCATGTTACAGTGATTCTGTGCCTGAGATGAGGCTGGTTATGGTTCTTCAGTGGCCTTTTGTTTACTGTGCATCATAGTTTGTCTAGTTTCTTTAAGCTCTTGTTATTCCAATTATGAAACTTGCTTTGTGTCCATCATTGTTTTCTTTTTGTGAAATTTGTGTATCTTTTGCAGATGTTTTCTATTGCAGTTATATGCGGCAATACATTTGTTTTTAAGCCATGTGAGAAAAATCCAGGTGATTTGAACCTTTTTTTTTTAGTCTTGTTTACCTTTTTTTAAATGGGCTGGAGGAAATTGAAACTTAATTTTCTGACACAGCACAGTTTTAGGATATTTTCCTAATGAACAAATGAGGCAACCATCCCTTTATGTTAGGAAAAACTAGCTTCTAGTTAATAAGTTGGTGAAGTTTTGTGATTTAAAGTAATATCTTGTGGCTCCATGGTTGTGTAAAGGTTGAAGGTTTCTTCAAAGTATTCATATATCAAGTGAACAATTAAAATCTGCATCCCTTACCATTTTTATTTTTGTTTATATCAGATATTAATATTTAAGCGCAATGAAATAATTGACTAGATATGCTCCTCAAAAAAAAAAAAAAAAAAAAGAAGTGTCTGGATAAACTATGATTGAACAATCCTCCTGCTTAGATAGTATTTGATAGTAATTCCATATCTGACTGAGTAACTCCAATATCTTCTTTGCATTTACTTTATATTGCATTGAATGTGGAATCACCTGTAATCTTGCTGAATTCATTTATATATAGACATCTATTTTTTTTTGGTCATGTTAAGTGTGTTAATGTTGTCAAAACCTTTTTCTTTTCCTCCTCCAGGGGCTTCAGTGATCCTTGCAGCACTAGCAAAGGAGGCTGGTTTACCTGATGGTGTCTTAAATATTATTCATGGCACCAATGTATGCTTTACTTCTTAGGAGCCTTCTATTTTTTGGTTGTTAAACTTACTATTGCAAACTTTCTATAGGAATGAATTGGATATTTCACCATCATTACATATATGTTACCGGAGAAAGTCTATCTTTCATGTGTGGCCATTGTAGTTGAATTAGGCTATGCAAGAAGGAGGTAAAGTATTGGTATAGCATTTACATGTCTTCTCTCCTGGGATTTGCAATTACACATACAGAAGTAACAGAACCTTCTAGCTCTATATTGGGGAGAATTAGTCCTGAGTTGGGTTGGTTAAGACAAAAACTGGTAGAAATCTTTCCTTTGTATTTATCTTCTAAAATACCTTACAGATTCCATTAATGGCTGGGTTCTCTGTCCCTTTCTCTCTTTCAATCTGCTTAGGGTTTTCTTCCCATCCTGTTTTCAGTTAACAAACAGCTTCTGTATCTTTTGAAGCACAAGCCGATGACAGGAGATTGTGCACATTTGAGCATTAAGGAGCCAGTATTTGAATAAAGAATAAAAGTTAAACTTTGGGCTCAAGTTAATTAGTTTCTGATCTGTTTTTGATCCAAATTGCATCATTTACTTGAGTGGAGATAGGTCTTACTTCAGTGGAGGGGATGTTGGATGTGTAGGTAGCACCAAAAGAATTAGGCGGAACCCTAATTCTGAAATGGTTGGCTTGTGGAAGAGGCTCTTTCGTAGGGCATCCTTAGCCTTTTCTGGAATTTGACAAGGTTTAACCTTGGTTCATCACATGACCCTTCAGCCTCACTCCTTAGGTAGTGTTATCTTTTTAAGCTCATCTGCTTTAGCATTGTCATGTTGCCTATTTGATTTTCTGTGCTTCATTTCATCTGTTAGAGACAGATCATGCAATGAATTTGGGCCTCTTGGTAAATGGGGTTTCTCCTTGTTTATTTATAGCTGGTTTAGTGATGTGTTGGAAATAAACTCCAAGTGTGGCAACTTGTTATATAAAAATTCATGTCATATATCCCAAGTGGCCCCTGGCAGCCTCTTAACTTTGAGTGTGAGTTTTTTGAAAGGGACTGGACTAGAGTGCAAGACCCCACTGCCATCTCTACCTGAGACTTTCTTAACATAATCTTCTCCATTCTATTTTTTGCCCTAATTCATAATATCCTTAATATTTTTTTTTTCAGTCAACTGCTGAGAGTTCCTGTCTATGTTTTTAACTTATCTCTAACTAGTTTTTTGTCAATATGCAGGATATTGTCAATTATATTTGTGATGATGAGGATATAAAAGCTATATCATTCGTTGGTTCAAACACGGTAATTTAATTCTCTGAATCTGGTTCTTACTTATAGCAATGCATGAAGATCTGCTTTTATCTTATGCCTTTGGATTTTATTCTCAGATTTTCGCCAAATAGATGCATATAGTTGCACTTCTTAATAATCATTCCAGGTGGCCACTGAATTTCGTTTGAAACATTTACTGGACTTCCATTTGCTAAAATCTAATACTCTCTCTCTACCATGTCATTGAGCCATTTTAAAATGCATATATTAACCTTCCTTTCCAAATTACCCATGTAAATGCATCTATTAGGCCCCATTTAGCATTAAGGTCTAAAAATGCTTTTGGCTAAAAAACTTGGTTCTACCCCAACCTTAATGCTATACAAGGTGAAAAATTTTAGCTTTGAGATCAAAAAGTTTGGTTTTGGAAACCAAACGCAAAAGCTCCAGTGTGTTTGCGATTGAAAAGCAATTTTGGAAAGTAGATTTTTTTTATCCCTATAATTTTAAATTTTTATTATTTTATACATATTTTTTTGACATTTCAATATACCAACATCACTTTTTCACAGCAATATTAAGCACTTAAAATTTTTGAACCACATTTTTGTAACCATACTTTTAAACACAATTTTTTCAAACTGAGTTTCTTCAAACCGCAACAGCAATGCTAAACTAGACCTTAATGTGGTCTATTTTACTAATGGAAAACTCACTCTCCAAAATTTTTTGAAAATGCTATTGATTATGGGAAGAGGGACTATTTACCAGTCCCCTGTACTTCCGCAGCTCCTTCGTTTCTTGGTGATATATTTGCTGTGTAAACTGAAGAGTGTTGTGAGTCTTGTATTCTGCTTTTGTTTCTTTTTTATACAAAATCAACATCACAAACTTGATAAATGTAAGTGGACATGGTTAAGCATGTGATTTCCTCTGTTTCATGCCAAAATTCTTCATTTCATTTTTAAGGGATTTGCGCCGCGCCCATTTCATTGAGTGACATTTTTGAAAACATGTGGGCACCCCATTCCCAATTTAAACTTATTTCAATCTCATAATAAGACTTTCTAAAAGGGGTAAAGTAATCTTGAAACAAGCTTCAATACGGAGCCATATAAACAATGTTTTGTGGTGAAACATTTTACTTTAGGTTTTTTCTTATTATTTTATTAACTATGATTCAAATTCCAATCTCAATCCCCACCACCCCTTGAAAAAAAAAGAAAAGAAAAGAAAAGAAGGATGAAAGAAAAATCCAATTCCTGTGGAAGTCACCTTTTGTTGATTGACTTAATATACTTCTCCATTTTTCTTCTATTTCTAGGCTGGCATACACATACATGCTAGGGCTGCTGCTGGAGGGAAACGAATTCAGGTAGATTCTCTCTCTTTCCTCCTCTTGGTTTCTATTGTTGCTGAACTTGATTAAAAAAATTAATTTGCATAAACTAAGCAGTTAATGATTCTCGTGTTGACTTTTTAGTCCAATGTAGGAGGCAAGAATCATGCGATTATCATGTCTGATGCAAGTATAGATGCTACTTTGAATGCTCTTGTTGCTGGGGGCCTTGGAGCTGCTGGGCAGAGATGCATGGGTCTAAGTACAGTTGTTTTTGTTGGAGGTTCAATGCCATGGTAATATGATTTCTTTACTTGGAATTATTTGCTTTCAACAGCTGCCAATTGATTATAGCTTGACAGATTAGTTTGAATTCTAGTTACATTAAATTGCTACTTGTTAATTATTTGGATGTCTTTAGTGCAGCAGTTCGGTCATCAATTTCGACCACTTTGAGATTGACCTCAAGTTGTTTTAGGAAGTTATAAAGTATGTTGATCAATATTGTAAGGGGAGAAGGAGAAAAATTGCTGTTCCTAAGAATTTTTTAGGTCTGAAAATTTTCGGTTTATGGACATACATGAGTCATAACTACCTCTTCCACATCCCGCAATTGATGCAAATCCTACTTGCTGGATATTATCCAGTTTTTTGCCTTCAAGAATTCCTCTTTCCAGCTTACTTAATACTTATCTATGGGTTTTGGTAAAAACAGAGTTGGTTGATCAATTATAGCAAATGCTTAAGTTGATAATAAAGGATCCATTCTTTTATATTTAAGTTCTAATGCACTCCTTTAAATGCAAGCTAGATAAATGATTTATGGGCTTTGCACACAGCCAGAGTGTGGAAGAAATCTGCAAGCTGAAGACTGATTAAACAATTTTGCACTTAGGTTTAACATGCAAGACAATGGGTGAAGAATGAATGGAAAGGGGTGGTTCTTTCATTCGAACATGAGACCTATGCTCTCATACCTTGCCAAAATGATTGTAGGATAACCAAATCCCAACATTTTGAGCAAATATTAAAGGATTGAACTTTTATATTAATGTTAATATTATTAGGTTTTATTTTACCCTACAAACCTAACCCAAGCCTCTATGTTAGCAAATCAGGACTAATAGATGTGCATGGTAATTATACATTAAAAGTTTTCCAATATTTATCATTTGACAAAGCTCTCCGAGAAACTTAGATGTCAGCAAAGTTATCTTGTTGTGAGGTGACCAATTATATGCAACACTTTTCCTTTTTAAAATTTATATCTTTTGTCATTTCGTCCAGCCCATGTTTGAATGCTCATGGAATTAATATGTTTGTTGATAAATAGAAAAGTGTGACAGTTTCTTTAATGAAATAAAAATAATTGAAAGAATTAGATGAGTTATTTTAAGTTGAGTGTTTTCCTAACATGTTCAGGGAAGAAGAACTTATGCAGCGTGCCAAAGCACTAAAAGTGAATGTAGGATCAGATCCTAGCGCAGATGTTGGTCCGGTGATTAGTAAAGAGGTAAAAACCAACCTTTAAGACTTCTGAAATTTAATCTACATTCTCAAAGTGAAGTTGTTGGTTTACTTCTTTGCTACTAAAAATTTCTGTGGAAGTCGAAACATGCCTCTGCATCCTGATTATTTTTGCATGTTTCTTGTATCATGCATGCTTTAGGTGCACACAATTATTGTCAACTTTATCTTTTGTCTTATTTCCTTATTGCTTGTTGATCTCACAGGTAAAGGATTGCATAAACAGATTAGTTCAAAGCAGTATCGATGGTGGTGCTAGACTTCTTCTTGATGGGAGAAATATTGTGGTATTCATTGGCTTCAGTCCTTTTGCTATGGCAATTATACTAATCTTTAGAATACTAACATGTTTTAAATGCACTTTCGGCGTTCTGCTTGATATGCTTGCTTTGAGGGCTAAATATACTTTTTAGATTTTCAAGAAAACTGTGGGGTGCTATTGGTGATCAATGATTGACTGGTCACTTGAATACACTATCTATGATTAGAGCTGTTTTTTAAATATATCTCATAATAACTACTGCTGGTTGCAGACATATTATTTATGGGTATTTAAAACAATTTTTAGCATAACCATGAATATGTCTCGGAAGACGATAATGGTACTAGTATTCTGGTCATTTACTCGGTCTCTTGGAATGAGGAATTTCCATAACAGTTCTGATTTCAGAAAGAAACTTACAGAAAATGGTGATTGTTGGTTTGCCTTTATCCATGCTAAATGTTGGATTCCTATACACCTAAAATTTAGTGTATTGCCATAATATTGTATTGATAATTATTCTGAAAGCATCTGCCTTATCTATAATCATTTTAAACTTTCTTTATAAAATTGCATGACATGTGAATGTAGTCCTTTGTGTTTGTTTTCTTATTTCTCAGCTTTAAATCCTTTGGTGGTCTATGATTGGTAAAAATAGTCTTTGATATTGTTGGTACACCTGCATGTCTATTTTTAAGATGGTGTGATGTCAATTGAGATGATAAGTAATCTTTAATCATTCAGTTTAAAAGGCAAATTATTGGTTTTCAATTTGTTGAAATCAATAAAGAAGTATGCATAAATTTAATGTATGCAAAATAATAATGTGTTAGGAGGCATCTTAAGGGAGGAGAGGCAGGGAGTTTTTCAAAAGTAGATTAAAGCATGTAAATCAACAACATGTGATTTTCCATTTTTCCTCTAAATAGCCAAACCTTTGGGGTAAACCTACTTCCACCCTTAATTTGGTTCATAAAGCATCTCTGTGATCACTGCTATGTTATTGGATGTCTTTTCGAGATAAGATTATTCGAAAAAGTTACTTCTTTCTTACTTTAGCTTGGTGTAAAAGATGAATTTAAAGGTTCAAATGTATTATATAGAGTAAGTCCTTAAAAGAGAAAGTGGGGATAAGATAGAATGTGATGAGACTTAAGAGATAGATCAATCATCTACTTAAAACAATTTTAATTTCCAGAAAATTGAGAATGGATGTTTTATTTTTTTTTTATGGGTATTGCCAATTTATTCTTTTCTTTTTTACTTCTGGGTATCATATTGTATTCAAATCTAAGGGTTTTAGATTCTCAACCTCACATGAAAAATCCATTTTTTGGGCTCTAGGCTGGCAATGTTGGAGATATAACTTTTAAAAGTTTTAACACCATAAAATTCAGCCAGTTTAGGTGCTATTATGGACAAGTATATAACATAAAATTTTTCGGTAACTAAAGACATAAGTACGGGACTTGTTAACGATGCTGGTCCAAATGGTGATTATATAACTGATTAAAGTAGAAGTATGAATGTGATGCTAAGACTTGTCGACATTCTTTCTGCTGATTAATAGTTTAATTCAAGGTTTATCTTTATTTAGATATTGCTATAGCTTCCAAACTACTTGTTTTTTAGTGTATTTTGTGCTTGTTTTCCCACCCGATAGCTTCTTGCTTGTCTTTTCCTGAGCATGTTGTTATGGTTCTTCTAATTGAAATATATTGATTTGGGAGGTCCTGGACTTTGATTTAACTATTTCCTACAGTTTTTTTTTCCCCTCTATTTCTAGGAATTTGGCTTCTTTAGAACCTAACTTGAAAGGCCCTCAACTCTAATTTTGCAGGTTCCTGGATTTGAGAGTGGAAATTTTATTGGTCCTACCATAATCTGTGATGTTACATCCAATATGGAGTGCTACAAGGTATTCCTTTTCTTGTGTTTCCAGTTCTTACATTTTTATAATGAATGAACTTGAACAGTTTATGATTGTCAGTGGAAGAAGAAATTAACTAAAAAATTTTGGCATATTCTTGACCACACTGTATCTTTATTTGAGCAGGAAGAAATTTTTGGACCGGTTCTCCTTTGTATGCAGGTATCATGTGCTTTTACTTCTGCATTAGTATTAAATATATGGGGTTGGTTGGACTTAAGCTAACAGCCTTCATTCCTGCAACAACCAACAGGCTGGGAGCCTAGAAGAGGCTATCACCATTGTAAACAGAAACAAGTACTTAACTCTAGTCTCTTTATCTCATTTGAGGCTTTGAATTTTCTACTTCAATGTGTTATAGCATCTTTCTACTAGAGCATGATCAATGCAGGTTGGCATGGAGTAATTCATGTAGGGAAAATTAGCATGTGCCCTCTTTGGTTTTTAACAGTTACAATGACTGTTGGATTTTATTAACTTCATTATCTTTATATATATATGTATGTATGTATGTATATTGTGCTTTACCCCTTCAATTCAGAGACGCGTAGACATACATGCACTCACATGTCCACCTACCCACACACACGCACATCTTCTCCTACTAATAGGGCATCTTAGGGGAGAAATTGTTGTCTCACAGAGTACAAGGGGGTAAGATTTGCATGGCTATTTTCTAAGATACCCTTGTATGACACTATATTTTTTCTCCCTTTGTCCCTTACTTGCCAGGCTGATGTTTAATCATACAACATGCTGATTATTTGCTAACAGCTACTAGATATTTGCTTCATGTCATAAGAATGGTGTTTTTTCTCTTAAACCCTGGGACTAAGTTTTCATCTAGGAAGATGCATGTCTTAGGATTCAGGAGCAATAAAAGTTTTATTTCAACTATGCATATCTTTTTTTCATAGACTTTGAAATTCACATCTAAAGTTTTCACGACTTGTTCATCTCCAACTTTTATTTATATGTAGCTATTTAAATAGGTCTGTGAACGGAGCCTCTATATTCACAACATCTGGCTATGCTGCATGGAAGTTTCAGAATGAAATCGAGTCTGGGCTGGTAAGTAGATCCTTTAGTTTGAAATTAGAAAATAAGGACCTGTTTTAAGCAGGGGTTCTATTGACCATAAAGTGCTTCTAACCTGTAAAAGTGCTTCAAGGATTTTTTAAGCATTTAAAGTGGTAGATGTGTTTGATCCCAAAGCACTTATCTGCTTGGCAGAGCTCTTTGTTAAAAATTACTTTACTTGAAAATCAAACTTGCATCAAATGGGCTAGCATGTTTTTAACAGCAGAAATGTGTTGTTTGGAGCTCTTTTTGCTGTCCGTAGATGTTCATGCCTTATTACGATGTAACTTTATGGCTCAAATTATTGTCTTGTCACGATTTAAAAACAGTCTATCATCTAGATATCAAGAGAATCTAGAAGTTAAGTCTCTTGATTTCTCATTTGTGCTATTCAAAGAAGAAACCATGTTGGTCTGCGGAGAGGGGCTAAAACATTCTGTCTGAGCTTACTATAGTATTGTACTGATTTTTTCATGGTAATTTCCAACTAGCAAACTTTTTCCTCATGGCAAGTGCTTCACTTGTCTCAAAGAGGCTTTGATATATGGAGAAGCGGTATAATTGCCTTAGAGGATGCACATTGCACCCTGTTGTAGCTTATTTCTTATTTAAGCCCTTTTTTGATCTATGACTATGAACTAATCGTCATTTGTCTAACTTGAAATGTGTATGACTCAGGTTGGGATCAATGTTCCTGTTCCTGTTCCTATTCCGATACCTTTTTCCTCTTTTAGTGGACCGAAAGCATCTTTTGCTGGAGATCTTAATTTTTGTGGTCTGACCTTCTCCTTCCTTCCTCCTTATTACTGTTATAGTTGACCCATATTCTCAAATATGATTCTATCTTCTTTTTTTTTCTCCTGTTTATGAATTGCAGGAAAGTCAGGTGTGCACTTTTACACCCAGATCAAAATGGTGGCACAGCAGTGGAGGGATTTACCAAGCCTAGGAGCATCCTCAGGTTTGCATCTATCGTCTGAGATGGATATGACAAGCCGGGGAGTCTCTTCAGCATTGCCTCCATCATCAGAGCGAGATTCACCATACCAAAGAGAGCCAGCCATGTCTCCAGAATCAGAGGGGAACTCACCAAATCATACAATATTGCTTTCTGTCCCTGCAACTTCAGGGAGGGTTCCATCAAACCCTGCAATTACATCTCTGCCTCCAACTGCTGATGTTGATTTGCCAAATCATGGAGCATCTCTTGTTATACCTCCTACATCTGAGATGCATTTGGAAAACCAGGACACGTCCCTAGCTATGCCATTAAGAAGAGAGAGAGACCTGTCGGGCCAAGGAGTGTCGTCAGCAACAACCCACCAATCTGAAAGAATGTACACACCGCAAACATCACAATGGAATGAAACTCCAGCCGTAGCATCTCAAAGAACTGAGTCCATTCCTCCACCCTCCGAGAGGATTTATATACCCATAACGTCTCAGAGGAATAGCAATGCATCTACAACAGTTAAGAGGTCAGACACTGCAATAGGTTTAACTCATGAGCGACTATATGCGCCAACATCTCATAAAAATGACAGTATGGTTCCCATTTCACATAGAAATGAAAGCATGTCTCCAACTTCGGAGAGGACATACATGATGACAACTTCTCACTTGAGCGACAGCATGGGTCAAATTTTTCCAACTTCTGAGAGGATATATGTACCAGCTACTCCTCACAGGAGCGACCACATGTGTTCAACCTCCCAGAGGGCTGATGTCGCATTACGACCAGCCTCGGAGAGGTTATACATGCCTGCAGCACCCCAGAGGAACGATAATATTGCTTCGGCAGATCCAATGCCTCAAAATTCCGAGAGCATGTATATGCCTTCGATTGTTCAGAGGAACGCTGATATGCCACCAACATCTGAGAGGTTATATATGCCTGCAACATCTCAGAGGATGTATGCTCAAAATGCAATAATTTCAATGGATGATTATCCTAGCCAAAGGATATAGGAATCCTCCCTGCTTCTTTCCTTTTTTTTTTTAGGAACCTTTGTAGACAAATCAATATAGTAATCAAATAAATGCCAATTCAGGTTTCTTTTTCTTTTTCACTCCAAAATCCAATTCCATACTGATTTGCTTCCGGATAGCTGCAAATATCATATTTCACATTATATTTGACTGGATGTGGTTGGATCCGTATTTGAGGACTCTAATTTCACACTTTCAAATTTCATAATCTCTACTTTTAACAAAACTTGATTATATCAAAGCAGAATATACGAAATCAAAAAGTAAAGTCATAAATTTTTGTTAATTTTTTATCTAAAAATCAATCAAATTCAAATTACAATTATAAAATTTGGTGTTTAGATTAACAGAATATTTGATAAAATATGTTAATACACTTGTCATCACTGTCCATATTTATTAAGTTCAATTATAAATTATAGATCTTGACCATAAAAGTTATTATAATTTTATTAGATAGTATTTTTTATGAAATTATTAAAAAAATTTATGTTATAATAAAATATTATAAGTCAATAAATCAAATTAAATAAACAAATCAAGCAAACCAGTTGTTATTAACATAATGCATCATTGGCTTGTATTAGATGGTATTAATAAAAAAATGATGGTAATTGAATCTCACATTATCCACAATTTATTCAAAATGTCATTTTTTTTTAAATTCAAAGTACCATAATCTTATGAATAAAGTCAAAGGGGAAATATAAGTAAACAAAATCTAGCACGGTTGTCTATTTAAAATTTTTAAAAAATTATATTTAAAATAAAAGCTCCCAATCCTATTAAAAACTATTTTTATACTAAATTAATCAAAATTAGTAAATTAAAGTTACCAATTTATTCAAGCGGTTTACTTTTTTTTTTAACTGTTTTACTGAGCATGATTTTCAAACAAGAAAGAATTATACAGTCTCCTATAACGTCAATCTCCGTATACAAAAAGCAGTAAGAAAATCCTTCGTTTTTACCTTCATCTCGTCCTCAAATCCAGCCCACCTTCGCCGCCACTTCAAGAAAAAGGAAAGATACAAAACCTTCATCGTCGCCGGAATCCACCGTAATCACTGGCGATGATAGGTGGAAAGCAACCGTTACAGCAATCTCAGCTGTTTTCTCTAAAGGGATCCATCCTCACTGTCTCCATTCTGACCCTTATTTTCTTCACTTACTTCTCCTTCAAATCCCTCCGTCCTCTTCCTTTCTCGCCTCCCACTCCTCAGCTCACTCTCCTTCCCTCCACCACTGCCACCCATCCCTCTCATGCACGTTTCGTTGCTGACAAAAGGGCAAACAATATCGGTGAAGGAGAAGACGACAACGACGATGACGACTTGTTTACCGATGTTTACCATTCACCGAAGCTTTTCAAGTTGAATTTCGAAGAGATGGAGAGGAAGTTCAGGATTTACATTTACCCCGACGGTGATCCGAAAACTTTCTATCAAACTCCCCGGAAACTGACTGGTAAATACGCCAGCGAAGGTTACTTTTTCCAGAATATTCGCGAGAGTCGATTTCGTACGGACGATCCAGATCAAGCTCACCTCTTTTTTATCCCAATTTCTTGTCACAAAATGCGCGGCAAGGTAAACCAAGAAAAAATTTCTTTTATAAATAAATAAATAAATAAATAAATATATATATATATATATATATATATATATATATAATGAGATCGATCTACGTAAATTATTTAATTTGGAAACTGATTTTTTTTTCAAACGGTTAATGCAGGGCACATCGTATGAGAATATGACAATAATTGTTGAGAATTATGTAGATAGTTTAATAGCTAAATATCCTTATTGGAATAGAACACTAGGTGCCGATCATTTCTTTGTTACTTGTCATGATGTCGGTGTTAGGGCAACGGAAGGTGTTCCTTTTCTTGTAAAGAATGCCATTCGTGTTGTCTGTTCTCCAAGCTATGATGTTGGATTCATTCCTCATAAAGATGTTGCTCTTCCCCAAGTTTTGCAGCCTTTTGCTCTTCCAGCCGGCGGAAACGATGTAGAAAATAGGTAAAATAAAATCCCTTAGTTTATCAAAGGAAAATGTTAACGAGTGCATTTTGGAATTGATCATAGTGATATTTATGATTTTATACTTAATACATTGTTGTCTTTGTTTGAAATGGTTGGGAATGTAATTTTAGCTTTATACTAACTAGAAGCATGTTTTGCAGGACAACACTTGGTTTTTGGGCTGGTCATAGGAACTCGAAGATTAGAGTTATACTGGCTCGTGTGTGGGAGAATGATACTGAACTTGACATTTCGAATAATAGAATAAGCAGGGCTACTGGACATTTAGTATACCAGAAGAGGTTTTACAGAACTAAATTTTGCATATGCCCTGGTGGCTCTCAGGTCAACAGTGCTCGTATAGCTGATTCGATCCATTATGGATGTGTTCCTGGTAAGCATTCTCAACTTCTTGTGGTTGCTGCAGTGAAGGACGATTTAGAAATCTGTGTTTTGTTAGTTGCTTATTGCTAGCCTGTTGTTGCATGTGAATTGCCAAGTTATTGGACTAGGCTTGCTACAAAAGAAGGGAGGAACTTATAGAACTACAAATACAAATTCGAGTGAGGAACTTAAAACAAAATCATAAACGGAATAAGTTTGTCTCTTTGCTATGCTGTAGTGGGGGTGATTAGACTTCCTTTTGGTGATAGAGAAGATCTTTGCTGAAATACCAGTTAAAACATAGCTATTGTGACTAAACCTGGTAAGAAAAATCAGAATACACTTTGAGGGATGTAATGATAGGATTGCTCCTAAAGGCTGGCCATATCTGAGAAGGTGTGATTCTTGTGGGCACCCCCTGTGGAGCACAGCAAAAGCATTTTCAAAAATTTCTATTCACATAAAAACTTGGGATTATCTCTGTTACTGTGACAGAGTGCAGAGCAGAACTTATTTAGCATCCCAGCATAATCGAAGAGTCTTAATTCTTAGGCCATTATAAAGTACGAGCCATATTCAACCTTACTGACTTATCTAGTTTTACAGCCAGCATAAATATCTCCTAGATTCTGATGTCCTCTAGTTCTGCCATAAGAGTTGATTTACACTCTACCTCAATTGTGTCATGTGTCAGAAACACAATGTGCATCAACCTTATAAATAATTTATGCCTGGAAGAAGATTTGTGAAACTTTAGAACTAGTTTGGAGTAGGGGCTTTAACTTTTTAAAGGGATTGAAGAAACAGTGAGATTGCCTTATTTTAGATCCAAGTTTCTGCTAGTAATTTCTTTTTTTTGCCTTGTTATTTGTTAACTTATTTCTCCTGTAGACACCCCTTGTTATTTCTTAACTTATTATTCCTTTAAACACCCCAGAGAGAATGATTAAAAATGTTTCGCTTAACCTACTTGGCATGTTTTCTTGCAGTAATATTATCCAACTATTATGACCTGCCATTCAATGACATTCTTGATTGGCGAAAATTTGCTGTTGTCCTTCGAGAGAATGATGTGTATGAGCTCAAGCAAATCCTAAAGAACATATCTCATGAGGAATTTGTTACACTACATAAGAACTTAGTGAAGGTAATAGCCTTCCTTTGCTATACCAATTCATCAATTTTCACTAAAATTGAAGTTCAATCTAAAAATTTACCTGCATTTATTGATGAGAATTTCTTGTGCAATTTCTTTTACCAGGTTCAGAAGCACTTCCAATGGAATTCACCACCGGTAACGTATGATGCATTCCACATGGTTATTTATGAACTTTGGTTGCGCCACCATGTAATCAAATACTAATCTGTTAATCTATTAATGAATGTAGTGCCTCTTCACTTTTGTATACGCTAAACGGTTACTTTCTAACAACCTAAAAGCCTGTATTTTATGTACATACTGCTCAATTGTTGAGTGCCAAAGATGCCAACTATTTGTTTGTTCTTTATATTCCATTTTGCATGACTCAATGCCAAAGATGAGGCAAATCAATGACTCGATGATTTCCAAAGAGAACCATTACCGAGGAGCTAGCAAGCTAAATCTTCATTTTATTTTGTTTGCTAAAAAGTTTAAGAAAAGATACTTTCCCAAAAGACTACAAAAATGTTGAGAATATAATTCAACAAAATTAGTAAAAAAAAAAAAGATATGAATATATGTTATTTCTTGTCTTTCCTCATCTTCAATCAAAATTTTCACTGCCAAAAACTCAGTATAATTAAAAAAGAGAAAATGATTAGTTCATAGTCTCTCATTTTGGCTTCCACATCATGTATACCAGCTACAGGATAAGACGGGGTCAGACGTGTGCACAAATAGTGACGATTATGCTTTACTTAGATCGAAATAGGACAAGGCAGAGTTATGGAGGTATCCATACAACGTAGCCAGCTCATTATCATTGATACCTTCTTTTTAATCGTGGGACAAGTTTGGGATTCAGATGCAATTTTTATAATAAATTTGAAATTCAATAATATTTATAATTTTTTATTTTATTTTTAGACTGTAATTTCTTTTATATTCTAAAATCTCTACAATTTTGATTTTCAGAAGAAAATTATCAAAGAATTGGCTCAGCAAAGAGGGCAATCAAAGGAACCGTTTTAATTTATGTATACTTTTTCACTTTGTAGTTGATTAAAATTAGATTTTTTTGTTAAAATTTTGTATTTCTTTAATTTCCTAGCCCAATCTTTGAGCATAGCCCTAAGTTGAGCTTTATTTTAAATATAGACTATGAACAATGTATAAAATTTATATGGTAAATCTAAATAATCTATCTATTGAAGAGAAAATGATAACTTAAGTATTATAAAAAAAAAGTTTTTGAACTCAAAAATTAATTCAGTTGATTTATCTAATTATATTTTATAATTGATATTTAATATATTTAAAATTTAAATTTCAACACTTATAATTTTTTATTCCAAATTATAAGTTATAGCTTCCTTTATATTAAAAATGCCATTAGTATTCATGAAAAATAGTTTAAATTGGTGTTTGAATATTAAAATATTACATGATGGTCAAATAAAATGTCTATATATTAAAAAAAAAGTTCAAATTATGCCTGCTATACAAAACTTTGAAATTTAATCCCTTTTTTTTTAATTTATAAAAATTTAGTCTCTCTATTATTTTAATTTAACAATTCCAATCATATCATAAACGGTATCAATTTATTACCGTTAAAATCGATGATGTAGATTTTGACATAATGACGTATATGTTGATTAGGCTAACATGGCTCGTTAAATGATTGACAAAATAATACCACATGGCCAGAAAAATTATAACTAAGATTTTTTTTCATAATTTCTCTCAATAAAAAATAAAACTTTTTTTATTCTTAATTAAGTTAAAAAAAAACCTTCACAATCGTAACTCAAAATTTGACAAAAAACAAACCCCAAATCCCTAACCCCATTTCTTAATTGATTGAAATCCCAAATCCCTAACCCCATAAACCTTAATTTGAAGCCCTAAAAGCTAGATACTAGAAATTGAAAGCCAAAAATTATCGATTGCAATCAAGGATTACCGTTTGTGTGAAACCATTAATCCCACTTTCCTTATTAGAGTTTCGAAGTGTGAAGCCATCTCCTTTTGTTCGAGGGTAGCGTGCTTCGTTAGAGTTTCAAACGTAGGTTCGATGATTCCACTTTCCTCATCCATTTATCACTAAATATTAACGACAACAATCTCATCTTTTTTATTATTGATATTTTAATAAAACTAGAGAAAGAGATTTTTTTATATATCTTAAAAGGTGATTGCTACATTGAATAGAGAAAGTTGGCTTTGAGGTTAGGGTTATGTTTTTTTGCACTCATGTTTGTTTTTTTTTTTTTTAAATGCTTTTGAATCTATGATTAAAAAGTTGATTATGGTCTTATGTTTTTTTATAGTGCTATGTGGTCCTATTGCGTTATGTTGTCATATGTTAGATTCTATGGCCTACATGTCTTGTTGTAATGGCTATTGGTCTTACAATGTTTATTTTTATAATTATTTATTTATATTAGTTAATGATGCCCATTAAACTTTCATGCAACATTAGTTTCTATACATTGAATAACTTGTTTGGTTTATGCTATATGATATGCCTCATGAATTATGTATGTTTATCATTTGTTGCACATGTATTTGTTTGTTAATTTTTGTGTATGATGGAGACATGAATATTTATTTATTTATTTATTTTGATGTTGATTGTCACATCTTAGTATGACTTGGGAACCATGCCAAGCAAGATACCATCATGGGGAACAATTCAAAAGAAATCGTAATTCATTTAGATACGTGAATGACTTGGTAAATAAATTTGATGAGGATCCAAATTGCGTTTGTTATTGAACAATACTAGGGACTATGAAGAGTTTAAGTTATGATTTGAGAAAAAAAAGTGAAAATTTACTTTGTGAAATCTAGTAAAACATTTAAAACAAGATTGAAGTTGTTAACAAAAGATGATACCAATATGATAGACTTGGCTAGTCAATTAAAGATGGGTGGGCCAATAGATATTTATAGAGAACATTTGGATGATAGGCTTGATAGTGACATTCCAAATGCTTTGCCTAAACCTATTGAAATCGATGAAGGTTCAAATGACAACAATGATAAAATTGTTGTGATTGGTAGTAATGAGCCAAATAGTCAACTTAGGTCTCTTACACTTACATTAGCTGACTTTAATAATGGCTCGAATGGAGAAAAGTTAACTAAGTCTGGTAATAAAGTTAATGTCTGCAATGAAATTAATAAAGTTACTATTAAGAAAGGCTATGTGGCTGAAATGAATACTAGAATGAATGCTGTCAATATAAATATGATTGATGCCCATATGATTGTAGATGAAGTAAATGTGGAGGGATTAAATACAAGTGGTGTTAATGATAAAGATGAAAATATAAGTCAAGATGGTGATGAAAGATTGGTGGATGTAGATTAGGTTTGTCATGATGACTCTAATGCCGATGATGAATTAGAGAAGTTAAGTAGAGTTTATGGGTTTATGTTAAGAAAAAGCATGGTTTAAATGATGGTGTGTCAGATGATATTGATGCCAGCCATGGTGGTGAAGAAGTAAGAAATGTAGTTGAATATTTAATGGTAGACTTTGAAACTAAAAAGCTTGATGGGTACAAGGGTGATTACATTGATTCATTAGACCCTGACAGTTTCATTTACACTGATGGATCTAATGAAAACGATGCACAAAAAGTATAATCTAGGAACACTTATTATAATCTGTAGTCCCGTGTGAAAATTTTATCTTTAAACTTAAATTTGACAATCTAAAATTGTTTAAAGAAATTCTCTATAATTTTTTCAACAAGAAAATGATTTGAATTCAAGTATAAAAATAATGATAAAATTAGAGTTAGAGCTGTTTGTAGTACTAAAGGCTGCAACTAGACTATTTTTAGCTCATGGTGCAATACTAATATGACATATATTATAAAAAAATTTGTCTAAGCATTCATATTTACCTAAAAGTGTAAACGATACATTAATTCTTACAAGCTATTTAAATTTAATTCAGTTAAAACTCAAATTTGATTCAATAATTATTGAGCACAGCTTGAGCTCGAACAGCTCGACTTATTAAACGAGCTAAGTTCGAGCATATTAGTACCCGACTCGAATAGCTCATGAGCCTAATTGAATTTTTTTATTATATATATTTTTATTATTTTATTTATAAAATTACTATCTTACCCTTAACCTAAAAACCCCTTAATTTTCATTTTATTCTTTTCCTTTTTCTCCCCATCTCTCTCATCTCACTAAAAAACCCATATGCTATGCCCCTTTATCTCACTCTTTTCCAATTTTTTTATGCTGATGTAGTAGCCAGCTAACCATCTTTCTTATACTGGTTTAGTCTTTCTCACTCCCTCGATCCCAGAATGGCTAGGTTATCTTCTCGTCCTTCAACAATAAATTAGAAGCCAGATCTTTACCTTCTGTAAGGTAATAAAAGGCATATGTAAGCACATATGTCTCATAATGTTATATTGATCTAATAAGACCAAATATGAGAAAGACCTATTGAAGGTGCATTCTAGTTAACTCTATTTGCTTGTTAGTGTCAAAATAAATTCTAATTTATATGTTTTTTTCAAGCATTTCTGTTGATTTCAACTTTAATAAAACCTTTTGGAGTTTACAGGTTAGTTGTGCCACTTTGAACTTTTATAAGTATATGTTCACTTCTCTCTTAGTTTCCAAGAATATTTATTGGTCACTATAGGCCTACAATATTGGTCATTATAGGCCTACAATTATTTTTTGCTTATATAAATTAAATTATCTACAAAACTAGCAATGTAAGTGATGTAGTCGATAGGTAATATAAGATATATGGTATTACAGATGAAATTCCAATATTTTTAACATAAGTGAGGATATATAAATTGACTTTTTGTACATGGTATACTAGATAAAAGCATGGTACAAAGTATAGTGTGAAAGAGTTACCAAGTCTACTGTGATTTCTCTTTCTTTTCAAAATTTTGATGAATTAGTCTTCAACTACTACCCGTGACTCTTCACCAAGTTACTTCTTACTATGCTTACATCAGTAGTTTTCTCATGGAAGCAGTTATTACTATCATTAAATTATGTTTTTTATAGTACTTAATATAATTGGAGCCATTTTATTGACTTTAGCATAAATCCTAGGTTGTTAAGTATGGCTGCAGGCACTCCATGCCATATAAGATATAGATAAAAATAAAGTTAACAATTATCCCCATTGAAAACTTTTGTCATTTAGTAGTGTTCAAGTATAATATGCTAGAAACTAGGCAGTTCTATATGCCACTTCTCATTCAAGTATAATATGTTTTTTTAAAATTTTTAGTTTTAAATCTTTAAATTAGTTTAATTTACTACATTCATCATAATTTTAGTTACTGCATGTGTATGATCAATTTAGATTTTATTTATTCACATAGTTTTTCATTCTAGATAATTTTTATTTATTGTTTTTAGCTACTACTTCAGTTTTGCTACACTGTTTTGATTTTTGCACAATTAAGGCTTTAATTTACTATATTTTGCAACTTTAATATTTTATTACAGTTAATATTTAGTTACTGCATTAGTTTAATTACATATTTTTTAATCTAGATTTTTATTTTGTATAGTTAGAAAAATTCTACATGTTTTTCTACTTT